GCAAAAAAGCATTTTGATTTTCAGAAATACACTCTGGTAGGCACTGTCTCAGCCTGGATGCCAGTATTTTTGAAATCACTTTATAAAAAACAGCACAAAGGCTGATGGGCCTATATTGATTAACTGACTCTGGCATTTGACATTTTGGAATAAGAGTAATTAATGAATGTTTCCAATACCTTAGCATTTGCCTAGAGTCAAAAAAACTTTTCACTGCATTGCATACATCCTCCTTGATGGTGGACCAAAAATATTGGTAGAAGAGTCCTGTCATCCCATCTTCCCCTGGAGCTTTCTCAGGATGAATATTGAATACAGCCTGTCTGATGGTTTCTTCATCCACTGGTGCAATAAGATTATCGTTCATCTCCTGGGAAATAGAAGGAGAAATACATGGCAACAGCTCATGTCCATTGCAAGACCCTTTTGATGTGAACAACTCATTATAATATGATGTGATAGTGCTTTCAATTGCTTCAGGATCTTGACTGATATGGCCACCTTCAATAAGTAACTTATCAATGGCATTCATCTTCCTTCTTTGCATTGTATAAGCATGGAAAAATTTGGAATTCCTGTCTCCCTCTCTAAGCCATAGTGCCCTTGACTTCTGCCTCCAGAATATCTCTTCCTCATAGTATGCTTTATCCAGTTCATTCTTGACTCTATCCCAGCTATCCCAATCTCTGCTCCCCACCTTCCTTCCTCATAGCTTCTAACTGCATAGACAATTGAGCAATATGTTTAGCATTCTCTGATCTGAAATTCTTGCTCCAGTTCAAAATTGCAGCTCTTGTTCTCTTAGTCTTCTCCTTGACTGAGTACATAGGAGTTCCTACTGCTGGTGTCTCTCATGCTCTTTTCACCACTTCCTGCACACCAGCTTTCACCACCCACCTTTTGTCAAACTGAAAGCGCCTTTTATAGCTAACATTGCCTCCTTTAGAATCAATGACCAACATACAATGGTCAGATGAGCTTCTGAACCAGCTGTGGATGTGTGTATATGGGAAATGAATCATCCACTCCAATGATACAAAATCTCTGTCTAACAACTCCTCTACAAATCCTTCCCCCACTCTATTATTAGCCCATGTAAATTGAATGCCCTGTAAAGGCAGCTCCTGAACTCCAATGTTTGCAATAAAATCATTGAAACCCCAATAGCTATTGCTAGGCCTGCTTGTACCACTCCTCTTATCCTCTGGTTTACATAAATCATTCCAGTCTCCCACCAGCATAACTATTGCCCCCCATTTAGCTCTCTCCTGGATTAGATAAGCCCACTGTTGTTCCCTCTCAGCCTTACAGTAGCTGAGATATACAAAAACCACCCACCCCCATTCAGTTTGATTTTTCTCCTTAAACTTGACTGCTATAAAAAAAGATCTACCATACATCTGTTCGATTTCTCTCAGAATCCCAACATAGTAATAAGCCACCACTTGTTCCTCTAGGTTCAACCACAAAAAATCTGTTAACAAAGCCCAACCTTCTACAAAGCTGAGCTGAGAATTTACCCGGTTTCTTGACTTCAGAAAGAAATGTAAATGTAGGGTGATGGAGCCTAAGGCCTTCCTTGAGCTGGGGAACTGTAGAGGGTCCACCCAAACCTCTACAGTTCCACACCAGAGCTCTCATTTGGACAGCGAGGGCTCTTTAAGGTTGGCCCTCTCCACCTGAGTTGTTTCTGTTATTCTGATCTTCTTCTCCCCCTGAGTAAAGTCCAGGATTGTCATCATATTCTTTTGATTCTCTACTTCTCTGTGCCTTTTAGTTGGAGTAACAGCTACTGATGGATCATTATCTCTTGAGACCCTTTCTTCCTTCTTAACTGTCCTCCTCCATGTTTTCTTAACTGTTCCCATCGTGGATTCACATTGCAGGCCCTCTGATGCTATCTGCTCAATCCCTTGGGTTCTCTGATCTTGTTTTTCTTCCACTGTAATGACAACTCCTGCCATAACATCCATTTGTTGATTTTGTTGGTCTTCTGGCACAATTACTATCTCCTTACCTTTATCCTCCATCTCTTGCTTAGATGAATTTTCAACTTTATTTGTGCCTGAGTTTTTCTCCTGGACAGAACTATCCACACCTCCATACATATCATGTGAACCCTTTACTGACTGATTCTCCTTGGATGCTTCTATGCTACGCCCATTCCTCTGATCAGTGTGTATTTCTGGTACAGAACTCCCATTACTTGCCCCTTGGTTCTGAAAACCATCAGTAGCTCGCATCCAATCCCCAAACTGACCTTCCTTCAAACAACGTTTCTCTATGTCAGCCATCCTCTTAGAACAATTCCTCTCAATGTGGCCCACCCTCCCACAGTAAAAACATAAGTTAACCAAACGCTCATACTTAAAGGTGACTGTAATAATTTGCCCTCCCAGCCGGATTGGAGCACATCTTGGTAATGCCTCATCCACGTTAACCGTTACCAACAACTTAATAAGCCTTCCCCCTTGGCCTCCCATGTTGCTGACTAGAACATTTGAGCAAGACTTGAACACTTGCCCAATCTTCAACCCCACATCAGAAGTAAGCCAATTTAGGGGCACATTATGGACTTGCACCCAAAACTTAAGCTCCGAGAAGCACTTATCTGCACTGTGCAATCCTGCTTTCCATCCGCTTAAAATGATGTATTGATTATCAAAAATCCAATGGGTGCCCCCTGCAATCCTCCTTCTATCGTCTGCACTATCAAAAATAAATTGGAAGAAATTCCTTCCCAGTTCACGCACCTCCATTGTCGTCTTTAACTTCCATATGATTCCCATTGCTCTCTTGATCCCCTGCAGATTTGCTTTTTCTCCCCAATAACCTTCCCAAATAAGCTCCGATGGCAGTCTTCCACTCCAGCCTGAACATCACCATCTTCAATATCAATGATCTTGTTCTCCACCGCCGATAGAGAGAAAGCCCTTAAATGATTTTCCAATTCTGCAGTAGGGTTAACCTGCTGCTCTTCCTCCATCAATCTAATTTCAATAATCCCTCGAAGCAATAACCTTAATTTAATTGAGACCAGCTTTCCCACGATCGATGATTAAAAAAAATGAAGATTATATTATGATTGCGAAAAAATAGTTTGACTCTCCGGTGAGAGATAAAGCTCTCCTATGAGAAAAATCACTCTCCTTCGAGAGAAATCGATAATGTGCAAGACCATCTACTCATTAGACAAACTAGTAGAACAACCTTGAATTAA